AAAAAAATGTTCTGTCCCCTAACACAATAGAAATAACACAAAAACAGATACGAGTTATTTTTAGTATCTGACAAGGTTTTCTGTTTTTATATGAATCTTTAGTGTTTTTCATAATGTTACTTTTTGGCAAATTGCAGGGAAACTAATGTGGTCAGTTTTCAATTTGACCCCAATACACAAGTTGTACCCAGCTTTTGAACACAGCAGAAGGGTTAAAAAAAGTTTTGTAAAGAATCTCATATGTAGGCACAATTTATTTTGAATGCTTTCAAGTGTTTTCAAATGTTTGACTGGTACTGTAAATCATGAGTATTTTATTAATTCAATCCAATGAAAACAAAAATCTGTTAAAATCTGATAGTTCTTACTTCCATTGTTCCCAACAATGAAGTTTACATTTGGTCCAAATTTGAAAGGTCCAAGCAAATGGTGACTCATAAAGTTCCTCAAAGTGATACTTTCTATCACGCCAATATCTCCCACGCTCTGGAACAACGCAAGATAAATGTTATTTAAACCAGAACCGTCACTATAACATTTAGTAATGTCAGGGCCTTTCAGGAAATCACCAAACTGACCGAAGCAGAGAGTGAGTGATCTTGCTGGACTTCTTCATCCTCCTCATCCTGGACATGTGTTTTACCATCCGTCCTAGGAGTCTTAGATGGTTTTACAACATTGTGGACACAATACTTCCTCTTATTCATGGCAGAAAGATACCCAGCCTAGAGCTTTGGAGGAGCACACAAACACATCAGCATGCATCTGGAAGCAATCCTAATGCTGTCAGCCATAGTTTATCTGCATAACTTGGCTATTAATTCTGCACAGTTTTATGAAACATGATATTTTAAGAAAGAAGGTTCATATTTGATGTCAGAAACTATTCTAGAATGTCACTGAAATGCCTTAATAAGCACATATGCTGCATCACAAAGAGGAACAATAGATGCGCATGCGAACATGCCAACACATAATTCTACAGACATGGATGAACAGGTGTACAGCCAATTGTTACATTTAAATCGCGTACGCACACACAATTTAACAGCGCATGAGTTGTATTAAATTAATCACGTATATGATTATACTTACCCATTCCTCTGCACCTGGAAAGTGAATGTGTCTTATTGAGGACTTCCTGGTTGACAGACGGCGCGCTGCTACAACAAACTCCACCCTCCGAAAATCACTTCAGACCACATGTGCTTATTTATGTATGTCCATAAACGTATTCTGTAGAATATTCTGACCGCAAATCACCACATTAACCGTTTTATGTTCGCTAAAATATAATTTAGTACTTTAAAGTCACCTGTTGATCTCCTACAAACAGTGTAAATAGTCTTTCTATGATGAATTATATTTTTTGTCCATTGCAATTGTGGCCAATGAGACTGAGCTAACTTAAGACAGTTAGAATGCTAATTTTTGTATAAGTAAGTATATTTAAATTTGTTGATTTTGAGGCAGATGAATTCGTTTTTATAGGAGAATGCAATATTGTAATGCATTACTTTTAAAAGTAACTTTCCCCAACACTGGAGATAAGTATTAAAATTTACCTTGCAAAAAATTCAATTTGCGCCAAATCATGCGTTCATCACGTGACGCGCGCTCTTAATTGACGTCGACGTGATTTATTCGTTAAAAAAAATCCAGTGGCGTTTTTTCAAGCGCGTTTGTTTGTATTCGGTTGACTTGATAAGCGCTGGAAAAGTCATGGTATTCGTGTATGTGATGGGGAGAAATTCACCTTGGTAAGTTTTCTTTGACGAATTCATCGTTGGTTTCGAGTAGGAGGTCGAATTAACGAGTTAAAACGGTTTTTAGGTTTAAACCCAAAGATTCCCAAATAAGCCACAACATCTCTAGCTTTGGATAAAGGCATGCAGCTAAATTAGTAATTGTAACTCCTAGTTAGCTTATTTTATGCGATGGCAGGTCCAGACATTCCCTCTATTGTATTTTGTTCTTTGACTTCGATTTCTCCCCCTTTGGTTTGTTGATCTAACTTAAATAGATCCTGTATTGTGATTCTTTTATTGTACTGCTTAATAATGCGGTTTTTTGTTTGCATGTGTCATCAACAGGTTGACTAACATTTGATTTATTATTATAATGTTTTTTGTGTTATGGGTTGTACCTTTAGGTCACTATATAAACGGAATCATTTAATGCGGTGAATAACTTTAAGGGTTCATTCATAAAATTGTAATTATTTACTGTACTTAACCTCATTTCCAAGGATCCAAGCCCATATGCTGCTATTTTTCTATTGAACAAAATATTAAAGTGACTTTCCATGTAGCTCTTTTCTATACATTGACAATTTAAGTTGTCATACAGTTTCTAAATGCAAGCTATAGATCTAATTGTGAACAATTCATCCATGCATCTTTTTTTTTTTTGTACAGACACACAATTTGATTTGATTATACTCTATAATGGAAAAAAATCGACAGCAAATAGTTTTTCATGTTTTGTCCTGTCAGGTGATTTGAAAGATACTGTACGTGTACTGTTTGAGACAAATTATAATTTGCTTTTATATCCTTATATGTAAATGTTGGAAGTCCATGCAGGTATTTCCATTTTGCATAAAGGCTCGTCCTGACAGCAAGTTTCCATTAAACTTAACAGGCATCACTGAATGAGTATATATTTGTTTTCATAATCTTCTATTGTTACTTTTTTTAGGACAACATTAGGCATGATGTAGAAAAAACGTTTTTATTTTTTGTTTTTTAAATAAAATAAACAGAATAAACGTGCAAACCTGCCGACAAAACAACCAAAACAGGTGGTGGGAGTGATTAGCTCTAAGCATTGCGGTTTATAGCGTCAGCCAAAACCGCATCAAGCATTTGGCTGCGGAAAGCACACGTTCAATGGCACAAGTGCAATGGGGAAAAAAAGAAAAAAAACCCGTAATTAAGACTTTTTTTTTTTTTTTTTTCCCCTAAATGTGAATTATTTTGATAATCCATTCATTTAAGTTAATTGAAATCCATTTATTATCATTACTTTCAGCTCTGTATTGTATGGGAAAGAAACCCAAGTGAGGATTTTATATATATTTTTTTAATTATTATTTTTATTTTTTTGGGGGGTGAACTAATCTTTTAACAATGTGTTATTTACTCTTTTTTCCTTCAGATTCTCCCCTATTTCTGCTCTTAAACCATTTTGAAAGACAAGATTCTCAACCAAGATGTGTTCATTTCCTGGTTTGCCAGAAGTTGGATCCAATACGACTGTTCATATCACAAGAGTCAATTTAAACCCACACACTGTCTTAGTGGAATTTGGAGGGAGTTTAAATAATGGACAAGAAAACAGGGAAGCATATCAACACCTTAAAAAAGACCTTGAAATCCCTAGGAAGCGGCAGCATGCTTTTGAAGGCAAACCCGGAGAAGTTTGCTTGGTATATGAAGACGGAACTTGGCACAGAGCAAGGATACTTTCAAAATCTGAACATGAATGCAAGGTGTTCCTCATTGATGATGGTAAATTACTTTGGGTCTCAAGCGAAGTTTTGACAAAATGTCCACACAACCTTTGCAGTGTACCTCCCAAAGTAGAGCTTTGCATTCTGGCCAGTGCGTCAGCTTTGTGTCTTGAGAGTGCATGGTCTGTGGCTGCTTCAACGGTCATCAGATCTTTGTGTGGGAAAGACATCTCTGGGTGTGTTCAGGATGTGATAATGCCTTCCAGAATCATCATTCTTGACATTCCTAGTCTATCCAAACAAATGTATGAACTTGGATTTGCTAGAAAGATGCCTAACAAAGACTTTAAAAACCTTGTAATGCATTCACTGCATTTGCCAAGAAGAAACCCTTCCATACAGACTGACCTTGTGACTACAAATGGTCAACAGGAGCATGCCAGTGACCCTGACAAGTTGCATCAATACTTGTATCCTGAGTTGTTGTCTGGAGCAGTTGAGATCGTAACTGTGACACAAGTTATTCATCCATTGAAAATCTATTGCAAATTGCATGTCTTTTCACAAGAGCTCAAGAAATTAAGTGATCAGCTCCATGAATACTATGAAAACTCATTCTCTGTTCAGATGCCAATGCTGCTGTATGACGGGTCTCCATGTGCAACCAAAGGAAGTGATGGCAAGTGGTATCGATCTGTACTTCAGCAGAACAATGTCTCCGATGTTGTCAAAGTCTTTCATGTCGATTATGGAATTGGAGATTTTGTTAAACTCTGCAATATCAGACCTTTATCTGCAAGGTTCTTCAAATTGCCAGTTGTCACCTATGCATGCTCTCTACATGGTGTCATTGACAAAGGCATTGGATGGAGGACAGAACAGATAGATTATCTGAAATCTGTTGTACTGGATCAAATCCTTGTTGGAAAATTTGAGCATTACAGTGCAAATGAGGGTGTCTATTATATAAGGCTTTATGGAAATGACAATGTTAATGTAAACGACACTTTTGGCCACAGAGAGCGGTGTTTGTCAACGACTGAGAGGATTTGTGGTGACCAAACTCTTAAGACTCTAAACAAAGTGGCACACAAAAATATGTATGGGAGAGATGTGCCTGTACATTCTCTCGATTCAACCACTTTAACTGAGTGCTCCGATTCTCTTAAAGATGTCACTGTAGCCAGACCTTCCAAAATTGGAAAAAACCTACAACCCGCAGAGGGAAGTCCCTCATCGAATGTCACTGCAGCGCCACCTTTTCAGAATGAAGCATATGTTGTTTCACAACCCAAATCTGAAGTGGGCGCAAAGGAGAAGGTTCGAATAACCTGTGTCCAAAGTGTAAATCAGTTCTATGGTCATTTTGCACAAAATACTGATACGGTCAGGAAAATGACCAAAGATATTCAACAACTGTGCCGCAAGCAACCACAAGAAAAGTTTTCAATTTACCCTAAGATGATGTGTCTTGCTAAATACGCCGATGGGCTGTGGCACAGAGGACAAATTGAATCAATGCATCCGATACTTGTCCAATTTGTAGACTATGGTGACCTGGTGGTTTTGGATAAATCTGATGTTCTGCCACTTCCTCCAAAGGCTAGTGCAATTGCATCCATTCCCATTCAGGCTGTTCAGTTTGAACTTTTCAATGTAACATTACCTGAGCCATGTGAGCTTAATGAGTGGTTTAAAAACTACGCTACAGACTGCATGTTCACTGTCATTATGAAACAAAATTCTTCAGGCAAACTATCAGTGGAGATGTATGATGAGAAAACCAACCTCAACTCAAACATTAAAGAGCAGTGGAACCAAAAGTCCAAAAGAAAAGGGTTTAACATCAGCAAAGGAACGGAAAAGGCTCATACTTTCAATACGTCTTCAGAAGGCGTGGAGTCTAGAGGTGTGAGACACAATTTCAGCACTACATCAAAAGCACATGAGAAGACCTCTAAGAATGTCCCGAAACCAGATTTTCAAGGCACATTGGAACAAAACTTCCAGACTGTTACTAGTCACACAACTGGACACAGTAGAGCTAGGCCTAATTTTTTACAGCAACAAGTGTCATGTCATTATCCAAAGCTCACCGATCTTCCCTCGAGAGCCTTGGATGCAGGATATGTTTCAGACATCTATGTTTCACATTGTAATAGTCCATCAAGTTTCTTTGTACAATTGGCAAGTGATGAAGGTGAAATATTTTCCCTTCTCGACAAACTTAATTCTGCTCAGTTAAGTGATGCACAAGTTGAACTAGACCTGTTGCAGTCAGGTGACCTGGTGGTAGCTGAATATACTGCTGATGGTACCTGGTATCGTGCTGTTGTTCAAAACAAGAAAAATGGCATGGTTCAAGTACGGTTTATTGACTTTGGCAATGAGGCAACACTCCTGCCCCTTAAAATAAGGCAACTTGGCAAGCAGTTCCTCAGCACCCCCAGGTTCAGTATTCATTGCACACTTGAAGATGGTAGAAGGGGAAAAAGAGATTGGACCCAGGAAGAGATAATGACTTTCAAAAAAGCAGCAGGTGAAAATGGTGAGAAGACAATTCAATGCAAGTTCATCCAAAAGGATGCATCTGCTTGGATTGTTAGTTTAGAACTTGGGGAAGGGCCTTTGTTTAATGCTGTTCTCAAACCAGGTGCTCAACCTGAATCCCAAATGCACTGCAGTGAAGGTACCCAGCCGTTAGCATTCAAGGATCCAGCTGT